TAACGAAGCTCTTTTTACCCAGCACCAAGCCTTACCAATTAAACCTCTCAGCCACTGTATCTTCAGCCATAATCCTGCCCACTCCCATCCCAGCATTTATTTTTTTTCCAGCCAATCTTTGAGGTCTTCATTAATGTCTGCCAGTAATTTTTTGTCTTACTTTTTGTTTTCAAAGAATTATAGATTGACAGGAAGTTGCAAAAATAGTACAGTTTCCCCCAAAGGTGACATCTTACATAACCATGGCACTTTACCCAAACCAGGAAATTGACATTGGTACCATCCACAGACCTTGTTCAGATTTCACTAGTTTTCCATGCATTCCTCTGTGTGTGTGTGTGTGTGTGTGTGTAGGTCCATATGCAATTTCATCAACTGCGTGAATTCATATAATCACCACCAAAATCAAGATACAGAACTCTGTCCCACAAGACCCCTCATGCTACTCATTTATAGCAACACCCATCCCCCCCCTTCCCCTCCCCAACTCCAGTCGGTAATCTGTGCTCCATCTCTACAATGTTGTTTTGAGAACGTCACCCCACAGCATGCAACCTTTCGAGACAGTTCCTTTCACTCAGCGTAATTCCCTTGAGCTCCGTCCAGATCCTCACATGTATTGATTGTTAAATCTTTTTTATTGCCAAGTAGTGTTCTGTGGTCTGGAGGTACCAGTTTGTTTAATCATTCACTCACTGAAAGGCATTTAGTTTGCTTCCAATTTTTAACTATTACCAATAAAGCTGCCGTGTACAATCATGTACATATATCATTGTGGATGTGAGCTTTTGTTTCTCTATAATAAATGCCCAGAAGTGGGTCACATGGTTAGAAGATATTTTCTTTTTTAAGAAACTACCAAACTATTTTCCAGCGTGGCTATATGTCAGTAATATTTTACGCTTTTCTCTATAAATATTTTCTTATATTTAATTTCTGTTATTATCGTAAGTGGAGGACTTTTTAAAATTATATTTTGTTTTCTCTGTTGTTTATAAATGCAATTACTTTTTATTGATATGATTTACACACTAGAAAATCCAGCAAGTGTACAATTCAGTTTATATTCACAAGGTTGTACAACCGCCACCTCTATCTAATTTCAGAATATTTTCATCACCCCAAAAAAGAAACATATCCGTTAGTGGTCACTCCCCATCTCCCCCCTCTCCCCTGCCCCTGGCAACTATTAAGCTACTTTCCGTTGCTATGGATGTGCCTATTCTAGGTGTTTCATAGCAATGGAATCATAATATGTGGCCTTTTGTGTCTGGCTTCTTTCCCGTAGCGTCGTGTTTTCAGGGTTCATCCATCCACATGTTGTAGCTGCAATTTTTTAAAAATTAATTAATGTATTTATTTTGGCTGTGCCAGGTCTTAGTTGTGGCACGTGGGATCTTTGCTGCGACATGTTTAGTTGTGGCGTGTGGGATCTAGTTCCCCGACCTGGGTTTGAACTCGGCCCCCTGCATTGGGAGCGCGGAGTCTTACCCACTGGACCGCCAGGGAAGTCCCTGCAATTGGTTTTTGCTATTGATTTGATGTAGGAAGATCCTATCTCTAGCTCTGTGACATTTCCTTCATAGTTCTAATAATTTGCCTGTAGATAATTTTGGATTCTCTATGTAGTCAATCGTATCACCTGCAAATAATGCCAGTTTTACTTTTTCTTTTCCAATCCTTATACTTTGTTGTTATTGTTTATTTTTTTCATGTCTTACTGCCCCAGATAGAGCCTCAGGTACAATGTTGAATAGATGCATGGATGAGGGCAAACTTGTCCCTGATTTAAGGAATGTATCTGTTGGCCCTTTAAGAACTATGTTTGTGCTGGTTTCTGTAGGTAATCTTTATCAGTTGAAGGAATTCCTTTCGATCCCAAGTTTGCTAAAACATTTTTATCAGAAGTAGATGTTGAGATTTATTGCCAGTGCCTAGATGATCATGTGAGTTTTCTCCCTTAATTTATTAACGTGATGAATGGCATTATAGACTTTCGAATGTAAAGTCACGGTTCCCTTTCTAGGATAAACAAAATTCTGTTATGAGGTATATATCCCTTTTATTCATTGCAGATTTGTTTTGCTAATATCTTACTTAGGGTTCTCGCATTGAATTTCACAAGCGGGACTTGTCTGTAATGGCCCTTTGAATGTTTTGTGTAAATGGAAAGGAGCCATCCCTGAGTCTAAAGTGTGTCTCGCAGAAACTCTCCATCCCTATCCCTGTCTCTCTCTCAGGGTCCCTCTCTGTCCCTCCTCATATACACTACTTTGGCTCGAGGGTACTCCCGTGGGTGGCAGAGGGGGGAGGCACCACCTGACCCCCAAGGTGGCTGCAGAAGGTGGAGCTGGAAACCTGGGACCTTGAGCTTTGGGAGGGACACAGAGCTGCGACTCCCCAAACCAGCCAAGGGACCATAGCTCCTGGGCCCCTCATTGAAGAGGGAGGCTTAACAGAAATCCTCCCCTCCCTTCTCCTTGGGGAGGGGGAAAGCCCTCCAGAGGAAGTGGCTAAAAAGGGGCAGGGGGCAGGGGTTAATGGCCGCATTGTGCTGCAGGCTGACGGATGGCCGGCTTGTCAGTGGCAGTGGCCCAGCCTTAGCAGCCCCAGGGAGATCCCCTCCCCCTCCCAGTCATCCTCCGAGGGAGGGGGCCCTGCTGGCCTTTGATAAGTGCTGGGGGCTGCCCTCCCTGATGCGGGGACACAGGGCCAGCCTCTTTGGTGGAGTCTGGTCTGCTGAGGCCCAGAATACAGCCCTCCACCCCAACCCATCCCTACCATTAAGCAGGGCAGGTGGCCACAGGGGACGTCCATCCTGACCGAGGGCCCCTTGCCCCACTGGATCTCGGGCACCACCAACAGCCCTGCCTTCTTAAGGATGACTGGGTCTCAGAAGGGACCTGGTGAAGCCCAACTCCCCCACATTTGGGGCAGGGAAACAGGGCTATGACGTGTCAAGTCTCCTGCAGGAGCAGAGGGAGAGCCAGTCCTATGACTTCCTGCTCAACTGTGCCCAGACTGGGGCCAGGCCGATGCTGAGATGAATCAGACACAGTCCTTCCTCAAGGGGCTAGAGGCTGGTGGGGAGGGGAGTCAGCACGTGAACAGAAAAGTATAACCAAGTGCGGTAGAAGCAGCAAACACAGTGTACTATGAGTGCCAGGAAAGTGCCACTAGCCCAGCCAGGAGGTCAGGAAGGCTTCCAAGAGGAAATGATGCTGGGGCTGATTTTCAAAGGGTGAGTAGAAGTTAGACCAAAGAGGGTGGGGGCAGCAGGGAAAGGCATTCCAGGCAGAAGGAACAGTATAAGCAAAGGCTCAGAGTAAAACCAGTGAGGTGTCTGTGAGCCACAGCAGTTCAGTGCTGAGTAAGTAGGTCCGCAGGGCCTGGTTTTCTAGGTCCTCATGTGCCACGTCAAATGGTTCGACTTGGCAGTTTGGGGAAGAGCCATGTTCTAATCCGGACTCCATGTGACCATCCATCCTTTGGTCATTCAGCTCACTGAGGAGCAATGTGACCTTGGACAGGTCACTTCCTCAGGAGCAGCCTCCCACAAGCATACCCTGACCTGGGCTGCCTGGTCCACCTGAGGTTCTCTAACATCCTAATGTCACTGTGCTGGGGTGGGGCGGCGTGTGCATAAGCTGTTCTTAGTTCCAGAATATTGAGAAATGGCATGGGGGACAGAAGCTTGAAAGAGATGGTTTCTGGGTGGAAAACAGGAGATCTGCTTCCACAGCGGCATTGCTGAGCACATCAGCCTTGCCTGGCCTAACAGGGACCTCCTGTTATGGGGAAAAACCAACCTGCTCTCTGTTACTTGTAGTCAAATGCATTCCTAAACTGATTCAAGCTCCTTACCTCAAGCTGAAAAATACAGAGTATTAAATACAGTCCAAGATCTTTCACATCCATGTAAAAAGATTTTCCAGAGAAATGAGACTCTTTCTTAAATACAGGATACACTCTTTGCCTTTATTTCAAATAACTTGAAAGCGTTTATTGTAGAAATTTGGAAATACAATAAAAGACAAAGTACTAAAAATTTAAAAATCACTCTAAATCCCACCACCCAGAAATAAATAAGGTGAGCGTTTTTGTGTTTTCTGTCTGTTTTCTCCTTATATGTTGTGAAATGAAGTCGAGCTCACAGCAGTTAGTTTTTCCTTTTCTCTTTTTATTGATGTAATATTTATGCAAATACCATTTTGTATCCTGGTTTTATACCAAAAGCGTTTCCTATGTCATTACAATTTTTCATAAGCATCATTTTTAATGGCTTCATCACATCTGTCATAGGAAGGCGCTGTGATTCGTTTCACCAAGCCCCAAGCCCCCAGTGCTGAACACTGAGGCAGTGGCCAGTTTTCCACTATTCTGTGAGTTGCAGTAGACATCTGTGGGCATAAGTCTTTATTTATACCTAGCTTGCTTTAACAAAATGTCCTACAAATGCAGCCTCCACTTGTATCAAGGCATTCAGCAGTGACAGCCAGGACAGCATCCATGGGTCCTGTGACCAGCCGCCTGGCAGTGCCCACAGGTGGCCTGTGGTTATACAGTGGCTCTGGGTCCTCCCTTAGAGTGCGCTACAAATGTTGTTAAAGCCAAGTCAGCAACTGTGGTTTGCGTTTGTTTTATGATAAGAATAATTAAATATAAGACAGACCCTCTCGGCAAATGTTTTGAGTTTTAGCAACTATTTCCCTCTTTCTGGACCCTCCCTCCCTCCCTCCGTGCACGTTTCTAATGATCTTCTTCTTTTCTGCTCTGATCTAGGAAATCGAAGAACCACAACTGCATCAAAAAGTAGAGGGGCTTCTCTGGTGGCGCAGTGGTTGAGAGTCCGCCTGCCGATGCAGGGGACGCGGGTTCGCGCCCCGGTCCAGGAAGATCCCACATGCCGCGGAGCGGCTGGGCCCGTGAGCCATGGCCGCTGAGCCTGCGCGTCGGGAGCCTGTGCTCCTCAACGGGAGAGGCCACAGCAGTGATAGGCCCGCGTACCGCAAAAAATAAAAATAGAAATAAAGCAGAAGAAATGGGCTCTGAGTGGGGCCGTGAGGAGCTCCCCAGGGAGAAGTGCCTGATGGGGGTGTAGGGACTCCAGCAAGACCCTCTGAGCCTCAGCCTCCTGAGAGAATTACGCATCCTCAGCCTCCTGAGAGAATTACGCATGCTCCGCCCCCCTCACGGGATCCTGGCCCCATGGAGGTCCTGAGCGCAGGCCTAGCCCAGTCTCCCTGCCAGCCTCCTGCATCACGGAGACAAGTCCTGAGGCATGGGGCGGGGGTGCAGGGGTGCTGAATGAGCCCTGAACAGAAGGGGCATGGCGGCTGTGGCCACAGAAGGCCTGGGGAGCTGCCCAGAGCTGCCTCATCTCCTGCTCTTCACATGCCCCACGCCTGGGTCACGCCCAGGGGGCCCCTCGAGCCTCTCCACGCATCCCCATCCTTGGCTGGGACCATGGGTCGGTCGCAGCCATTCTCAGTCGGGAGGCCTGGATGTGCTCCTGGCGGTGACCAGCATCAGTGCCGGGAGGAAGGGGGACCGCCATACCCCAGCCTTCCCTTCACACCCTCCCGTCCTCCTGGACTCCCAGCAGACTCCGGGGCCCTCTTGTGGGAGAAGCTGAGGTGCGAAACTTCTGGGTGAGCTGTTGACTGGGGGTCTCGCTCTTTCAGGAAGAGCAACTGAGGCATTTTCCTACCCTCATTCCTCCCCAGCCTCCACCCAAAGTCAGGTGCAGCCAGCCTCCAAAAATTGCTGGTTGGGGGTTTACTGCTTCCTGAGGTGGAGAAATCTCCATCCAGGGCAAGGATGTCCAGGTCCCAAAGGATGACGCACTCCTCTTGCGATCTCCACTGCCAGAAGGGCCTGTCCACCCACAGGGCCGGGTCCCCAACCAGTGTGGACCAGGTCACCAGGGAACCTGGACTGACAAACCCCAAGGAACATCCAGGTCTCACACCCTGGACCAGTCGGGAGCAGCATCAATCCTCCCCCAGCTTCTCACCCAAACCGCCCTCCTTCCCACTCCTGAGGCTCCCCTGCCCCTCCAAGCCCTGCTTCCCTCTACTGGCTGGGCGCCTCTCTCTCTCCCCTGGCTTTATTGACATGTAATTCACGCGTCTGAAGTACACAATTCAATGTTTTTTTAGTATATTTATAGAGTTGTGCAGCCATCACCACAATCATTTTAGGACATTTTCATCACCCCCCAAGATAAACCCTGTACCCTTTAGACATCATCCCTTAACTCCCTTAACTCCCAGGCCCTAGGTAACCACCACTCTACTCTCTGTCTCTACAGATGTACCTATTCTGACATTCCAAACGGAATGTCTCTTGCCTCAGTTTCCCCATCTATAAAATGGGGATGGTAATGGTGTTCCCTCACAGGATTTGTTGGGAGAATTTAAATAATACCAGGGCTTAGGATCATGTCTGGCCCAGAGTCAACGCTGTGTAACATCTGCTGTCGACATCACCTCCAGGGCTGGGGCTCCTCCACCCACCCACATGCCTTCCACTTGCCCTATGAGCTCATTTCACCCTCATCCAGACCACCCCGCCTAGACTCCAGACCTCCCGGGCATCTCTACCCAAACACCCTAACAGCCCCTCAGACTCAGCGTGTCCTTCCTCCCCAAGCCTGCCTATCCTGCTGTGTCCCTCACTCAGGAAATGGAATGACCTTCCACCTGGTCATCCAGGCCAGAACCTAGGGGCATCCTTGATACCTCCCTCTCCCAGGCCTGCCCCCACCATCTGGTCCATCAGTCTGACTCTGTCCCCCCACCTCTCCCTGCCCTGGCGGCTGCCCTGACCTGTCTCCATCACCAGCTTAGTGGTCACAAGCTGGGCTCTGGTGTCCAGTGCAGTTCTGTCCACCACTCACTGGCCTCAGGGCCTCGGGCCAGTCACCTCACCTGTCTGATCCTCAGTTTCCTGGACGATAAAATTGGGATGACCTATAAAATACTGCCTTCTCCATTCACTTGTCTTGAAGATTATATGAATAAAATGTGTGAAGAACTTAAGCCCTTTTTTTTTTTTCTTTTTCTTTTTTGGCCACACCACACAGCATGTAGGATCTTAGTTCATCGACCAGGGATCGAACCCACGCCCCCTGCAATGGAAGCGCAGAATCTTAACCACTGGACCACTAAGGGAGTCCCAGAACTTAAGCCCTTAATAAACATTATTGTTGTTAATATTATTCCCTCACCTGGGTAACTCCACCGCTCCTGACCCGGGTCCCTGCCTGTGTCTTGCCCACAGCACATGCTGCTCGGGTCGTGGTGGGCTGACCACGTGCAGGACACCGAGGGAGGCCTTGCACGTGCTACTTCCTTTCACCTGCCAAGAGTCAGGTGTTGTTACCCTCGTTCTACAAGTAAGGAAACTGAGGGCCCAAGGTCCCAGTGCTGGAGTCAACCACAGCCTCAGGGTACACTGTTGTCATTCATGTATTGATTGAAAACATTTATTGAGCCCCTACTGTGTGCCCGTTACTGAGCTGGGTGCTGGGAAAACAGTCATAAACCAGACTGGCATAGATCCAGCCCATAAGATCTTTCTAGAACACAAATCCGACCCCTTTAAAATCCTTCAGTGACCACCCCACTGTCCTCAGGATCCAGTGCAGTCTTCAGGAGCCCTTCTTCCCTGCCCTCTGCATCCCACACAACTCTTTCCCTCTGCCCAGCTCTCCCACCTTCCCTGCTCCCACTCTGCTCCAGCACACGGGACTAGTGGGGCCTCCCCACACCAACACATACCGCTCGCTGTCTTCCCAGTCTCACCCCCGACACCAGCTCCGTCCCCACCTTCTCTCTCAATTTCTTTGCCTGGTGAACTTTCACTCATCTTTTGAGGCTCCATGCACAGTCACCTCCTCCAGGAAGCCCTCCTTCCCCCACCTCCCAGCCTGGTGATGAGCTCCCAGGCTGCCTGTCTTGCAACATGCTGGCTCTTTACTGATATGTCACTCCTCCTGGACTGTGGCTCCTTGAGGGCAGGACTAGGCGCTTCCTTCTCCCTCTGGCCCCCTTGCTCCCCCGCCCCATCCCATCCATCATCATGTCAACCGATTTTACCTCTTCTTGCCATGGACCGAAGGCCCCAGCCCAGCACGGAGGTTACAGGTGACTGCACACTGCTAGCACCGTGCGGGTGCTCCACGAGCGGTCACTTCGCTCTGTTTCACGTCACAGTGATTGTTTCACATCACTGTAAATTCAGGGACAGCATGAGATGGAGGAACTGGTGAATATTTGGAGAATCTGAGCACAACCTCCTCAGGCCTCTGGCTTCTGTGATTCCAGACAAGGGAACCAGCGTTGCTGGGATCTGCCTAAGTCCCCTCCCCAAGGCCTCAGACCTCTCAAGGGGTGGGTGGGCAGCAGTGTTGGAGAGAGATGACCAGGGCAGGAGTCACCTGGGTGAGCCCCAAGTCCTGGCTGGGCAGCCTCTCTGTGCCTCAGTTTCCTCATCTGAAAAATGCGTCGTCAGCCCATCCTCACCTGCCTTGCAGGGCTGTCAGGAGAGGAAAGGGAGGGGACAGTAGACAGAGACCGTCTTCCCTGACAGCAGGCACTTCAATACCGACTGGCGTCCTGACACTCCCATCTTGGACACATTCTGTTTCATTTTCAAAAAAATTCCAGAAAACTTGGTTTTAGGTTTTCGCTGGAGGCTCAGCCCCACCCCGGTGTTTCCCGTGGGACGGGGTGCATCCTGAGGTCGCTTTCTCAGCGAGGTTTGGGGGGAGGGGCACACGGCTGGGTCCCGCTGCAGCACCTGGTTAGGACACTCCCCCTCCGAGCCTCAGCCTCCACCTTGCGGGGAAGATGGGTCGTCACTCCCACCCCAAGGCTGCTGTGCTGTTGGAGTGGGATGGTGGATGGGAGGGGCAGCTTGTCTCGAGGCAGGGAAGAGGCCTGGGGTGGGGGGCGGAGGGTCCCCTCCCTGGGACAGGAGGTGCACCACAAGAACTCACATGGTGCCCCAGGCACCCCGTACTCTGCCCCCCGTGGCCTCCCAGAAGCCACCTGGCCGCCCGCAACGCGATCGCCTCGGCCACCAGGCCCTGCGCCCGCTCGCGGGGCGCCAGGGGACGGAGGGCGCCACGGCCAGGCCACGGTCACTCCTGGCGGCCCGGGGGTGCCGTGCAGGGCGGGAGGCGCGGGCAGGAGGGAGTCGGAGCGGGTGGGTGTGTGGGGGGCCGGGGAAGAGCCAGAGAGAGGGGCAGGGAGGGGAACAAAAGGTCCCTTTGTGGAGCGGCCGGGAGAAGAGGCGCACATTACCCAATGCCCAGAAGCCATGTTGGTAACAAGAGAACCATTCTCTGCCTCGCTTGGAAAACAACTTGGAGCAGAGAGAGACAGGGAGAGAGTTAACCCCATGGGCGCGGGGCGCAGGAGCCCGAGGCCACTTTGGGAGGCGGGAGGGAGCGAGGGCCCACTGGGGGGCCTTTCCGGCCCTGAGCCCGCAATTTCCTGTCTCCCAGGCCTGGTCTGCGATCGGAGGGCCCAGAGACCCAAGATGGCCGCTTGGCCGGGGCCCAGCTACCTTTAGACGGGCGACTGGAGCCGTGGTTTCCGCTGCCTGGGCCTGGCCAGACGTGTGACCCCTGCCTGCTTCCAGCCTCAGGGCCGGCCCACCCCACCCCGAGGGCACCCCTCCACTCCGAGTCCTGGCAGCACGGCCGCAGGTCCTAGGGCTGGTCCCGGCTCCAGGGCTGCCCAGCCTCCACCAGCCTCCCTCTGCTGACAGGCGGTGTATTTCCTCCTGAGGAAGTCCCTTCCATCTTTGCAGAGTTTTGCTGTAAGTTTTTTCCAAACTTTAATTAAATCTCTTTCAGCCCCACCCAGCTTTCTCCCCTTCCCACCTCGACCCACGAGCCCGGGTTCTCCGGCCTCTAGAGACCGCATCTGCTATGAGGCACAGGGTACCGGAAGAAGCCACTGTGCTCTGGGCCCGTCGCGTGTGCCTCGCGGCCAGCCTGGATGAGGTGAGCAGTGGCCCCTTCTGCTGATGCCCGTAGTTCTAAAAGCACCTGACACTGGGCCACGTGTGGGAGGCACCCCATGGATGAGCAGGAGAAAGAGATTCTTCCTTCCTTCCTTCCTCCACAAATACACGTGGAGCCCTGTGCCCAGCGCTGACCCGGCTCTGGGGCTCAGCAGTGGACCAAACAGACCACCCTGCCCTCAGGGGGCAGACGAGGAACAAGTAAACAGGCTAATGGCAGGTGGCTACAAGCTCGATGATGACAAAGCAGGGAGAGAGTGACAGGAGGGGTTACATTAGAAATGGTGGTCAGGGAAGGCCCCTGCAAGGGTGTGCCATTCGACAAAGATCTGAATGGAGAGAGGAGGAACATCTGGGCAGAGAATATTCCAGTCAGTTGGTAGAGCGCATGCAAAGGCCCTGAAGAGGGACTGTGCTGGTGAGTCTCAGAAGAGCTAGGAGACCAGAGTGGCTGGAGCAGAGTGAGCCGGGGGTCAGATCACCGGGAAGGCTGGAGGGGCCCAGGTGTGAAGGGCCCACAGGAGCTTGGAGCAGGGCTCGTGTCGTCTGAGTTCCATTTCAACAAGGACTCTCTGGCTGCCGTGTGCGAGATAGACGGCAGAGGTCAAGGGCGAGAGCTGGAGACCCAGCAGGACTTTTGCCACAGCCCCTAACCCTGCGTACTCCCCTCTCGCACTCCTCCTCCCCGGCTTCCCACCCTCCCATCACAGGTGCAACATTCTCTGAGTAAGTGTTGGCCCAGCACTTTCTAGGTGCTAAGAATGGGTCACATGGTCCTTGGGCCAGGCGGGGCCCTAAAGAGAGCAAGGCTTCCCCCCGCTCCGGGGTGGGGGGCATCTCACAGATGGTGGGGTCCCAGGCGTCCGAAGGGGACCCGCTGGAGCGCAATCCTTGCCTGTGGACCCCTGGTCGAAGAACAAAGCCTCTTCTTCGGGCAGTTTTTCGAGCTTCACAAAGGGCTCTCGGGAGCCCCCTCCCCCCAGCCCCACTGTGTTGTGACATCAGCAAACAGCCCAGAAAAGCAGGAGCTCAGCACCCTGCCTTCCACCTCAGGCAGGTCCTCAGGCAGGTCCCTGGCCTCCCAGAGCCTCAGATTTCTCATCTGTAACACCACATCTGTGCCCACGTGTGGGTACAGATCAATCCTCAGGGGGTGGAAATAGGCTCTAAGAGGTGAGAGATGGCACATGGTCGCCAGCTGAAGGGGCAGTGCCTCCCGACCCCTAATGCTAGGCCCTGCCCTGCACCTCTGCGTGTTCGATGCCCCTGTGGCCCAGCTCAGCCCTGTCAAGTGCCGGAGCCGTGAGGGGGGGCTGGAGCTGTGAGGTGGGGCTGGAGCCGTGAGGTGGGGCTGGAGCTGTGAGGGGGGCTGGAGCCGTGAGGTAGGGCTGGAGCCGTGAGGGGGGCCGGAGCCGTGAGGGGGGGCTGGAGCTGTGAGGGGGGCGGGGCAGTTGCCACAGAAAGTAGTGACAGTGCGAGGGGGCTTCAGACAACAGAGGGGCCAGCGGGTAGGAGAGGGAGGCTGTGAGGCCCAGAGGGACAAAACAGGACAGATTTGGGGGTTCCAACTGAACAGAAAGCACCCCAGCCGTGGTGGACACCGTGGGACAGGTGAGAGAGAGACCCCTGTGATCCTGTCTGCCCCCACTGACTTGCAGTAGGCAGCCCAGGCCTCTCAAGCCTCTGCATCCTCGTTTGTCAAATGGACCTCATCCTTTCTGGCCCCAGAGGGTGGTGGTGAGGATCAGCTGAGGTGAGGGCTGTGCACGCACGGGTGGGTGTAAAGCTGGCAGGGAGGCGCTATTGATGGTGGTTAATGGTCACGGGGTCCTGCTGGGTTCCAGGCCTGTGCACCACTTACAAGATGGTCAACACGGTGGATTTGTGCAACAGGCAGGGCTGCAGAGGAGTGAGAGAAAACAGGAGCAGGAGAGAGAGGGAGTGGGGGAGGGAGAGGGGCATGGCCATGGCGGGGGGGGGGGCCCAGAGGCTTCCTGGAGGAAGCAAGTTGTACTTGTACGTATCATGGGGGATGGGTAGGGTTTGCACAGGCCAGGAGGCACCGGAGGGCTTGTGGAAGGACCAGCATAATAAAGGCACGGAGCAGGGAACCAGCTGGGAGAGCAGGAAAGGTGAGGGCTGTGCCCTGGCTGGCAAGGTGGGGTGGGGAGGCTGGGGTGGGATCCTGGGTAGCCCCAGCCCCTCCTAGGCCAGAGCTCCGAGTCTCACCTCCACCCCTTCCAGCCTCGGGCTTAAAGCTCCCGGTTTCCATCTCCAGCCTCTGCTCAAGCCCTGCCCTCCCTGTGGAGCACCCACCCCCCTTGTCTCTGGCTGATTCTGACCCACTGTTCAGAGCTGTATGGCACAACTCCCTCTAGGAAGCCTTCCCTAGCCAGGTTGAGAATCCCGCCTGTGGGAGTAGTTCATTCCGTCCCAATGGGAAGGAACTATTATTATACCCATTTTACAGAGGAGGAAACTGAGGCTCAGGGAGCTGTCATCATCATTGTTGAGGGGTGCACAGCTGGTGTCAGAGCTGGGATTCTAACGCTGGGAGAAGCCTGGCTCCTTTGAACTCTTACGTTACCTCCCCCACCCCGCCCTGTGCCAAGCACCTCTATCTCCTTAGATCCAGCACTGAAGCACAGAGAAGGGCTGCAATTCAACTGTTGCCACTCAGCCAGGAGGTGGCGGAGCGGATCCTGAACCCAGGAGCAGCTGACCCCACTCCTCGCCACCAGTCTGAGAAGGTGCAAATAGGCCCAGGACGCAGCGGAGAGTGAAAGGGGAGAGGCCGGAGGCCAGGGACCGGAGCGAGGGCAGCCCCGGAAGGCAGGAAAGACAACCAGTGGGGACATGAGCCCAGGGTGGCCTGGTTGGGGCAGTCGGGGACCGATGGCCTGTGGCAAGGCAGCTGGAGGAGGGGGAACTGGCCATGGAGCTGAGAGGGGCAGCTGGAGAGGTCGGAGGGGAACTGGGAGAACTGGGGTCCTGGGTGCCCAGCTATGGGGTTGTGCTGCAAGTGGGGTCAGGTGGCTGTCGCAGGCACTCACAGTCTAAGGTTTGGGCCCAGTGGAAAGAGCACTGGAGACGCTGCGGGTCACGCGGGAAGTCACCAAGTGCGGGCCCAGTGCCCTGGCCCATGTCACACCCTCGCCAGGACGGAAGCCTCGAGGCGCTTCCACGCGGCACTGTCGTCAGTCAGGGGAGTCACGTGGGGGGCGGGCAGCAGGGCCGTGGTGCCTTCCGGTGGCCTCCCCGCTTCCACCCCGCCCCTGGGGATCCTGCCACCGCTCTTGGAAAACAACTGAGGAAATCAAGTGGAAACACAAATCCGCCACCCAGTCCCTCCCGCTTCCTCGGGCCAGACCCCTGCCCCCAGCGCACCCCAGAAGGGGGCTCCGTGGCAGAGGCTGAGCCAGACCAGCATGGTTTGCCCTGGCGAGACCCAGTGGGCACGATCCTCGGTCCAGGGCTCCCAGCAGCTGGACCTATCGGCCCATCTAGTCCCACAGAGGCTGCCCCTCCCCAGGAGGACCTGGGGCACCAGGCTTGAGCCCCCTCCCTTGCCAGTGACCTCTAGACTCTGGGATCCAGGACCCGGGAGCTTCCAGGCCTGACTCTGCCCAAGACCAGCTGGTCACCCTGGACAAGCTCCTACCCCTCTGTGGGCCTCAGCTTCCTCATCTGTAAAATGCAAGCAACAAGCCCTGTCCAGTCCCACCTCACAGGAAAGAAAGACAAGGGCCTAGGGAAGGACAGCATTGTGTAAACTGCAAAGTGTCAGGCCCACAGACTGTCACTTTGATTTTTTTACAGAGGAGTTGCCTCCGTGGCTGGGGGAGTCAGCTCCGCTCAGGGGACATGAATTACAGATGGCGATAAGGGGTCCCTGCCGTTGCTCACCCCTGAGCAGCGGGGAGCCCATCCCTGGCCCACCCGGTCCCTCCCAGCACTGGCCACGCCGAAGGCCTCCCAGCCCCTCTACCCACGCCATGGACAGGCTGCCTGCCCCACCGGAAACATCGTCGCTCAGCCGAACTACGCCTCGTCCTCCAAGACCCCGCTGAACGGTCCCTCCTCTGCGAAGCCCGTGTCTTAACTGTCCCGGAGCCCCTGCCCACGCTCAGCACTACGTGTAACAAAGAGCAGAGTCAACAGGTGTGACTGAGACGCGTGCGTGGACATGCGTGTGCGCGCCAGGAGGGCTGTCTCGGGAGGTGACCCACTCGGGACATGACGGGGAAGGGTTGGCGTTTACTATGTGCACCCCCAGACTCCACGCGGGGCTCCCTCTACCCCCAAGACCGAGACCCCAGCCTCCCCCGGGCCCTCGCTGACAGTCAGGGCAGCTAACCCCATGCTGGCTCACAGGGGTGCGTTCCTAGGAGGAGCGCACTTGTGGCATTTCCAGGGCTCTGCTGGGTGTGATGGAAGGTGAGGGGACACTGGCCAGTTAGAAAGCGGACGAAATCATCCAGACTTCAGACGGAGGGGACTAGACTTCCAGGGAGGGACAACGGATGTGAGCAGCGTTTTGCAGGAAAGACTGTCGTGGTTGATGATTAGCTGCGGGGGGATGAAGGGGCGGATGAGTCGAAAATGACTCTGAAGTTTCACGCCGGGGTCGCTGGAGAACAGTGGAGCCATTGACGGGGCGGGGAAGCGGGGTGGGGGCTGGTTTGGGGGCAGGGTGGTGACTTGGGCTTGGGACATAGACTCACAGCATTTGGGGCTGGAAGCAGCCTCAGAGATCATCCAGGTCACAGGTGAGGAAACGGAGGCTCCGGGAGGAGCAGCCACTTGGCCGGGACACTGCATGGGTCGATGTCGCGGCCGAGGCCGGGGACCTGGCCAGGATTAGTCCCAGAGGCAAATCAGACCCAGTCCCCACCTTCAGGGGTTCGGTGTCCCCTGGAAGAGACAGACATGGCCATAATTGCAACCTGATCGAAGGGGTATCCACGAGGCAATGTGGGGATGCAGAGGGCATGGGGGAAGGGGGAGTAACAAGGAATAATAATATCACGGTTATCAGAAGTGGGGCCCCTGTGCCATGTGCATCTCATGTAACCCTTGCAACCATCCTACAAGCTACTAGCCTCGTTGTCCCCATTTTACAGGTGAGGTTGAGAAAACTAAGCAGATGGTCCAGGGCCTCACAGGTCTGATGATGCCCAGACTCGTGCTCTTAAGCTCTGCTTCTTGGTAGAGGTGTTCTGGAGCTGAGGCCTGATGGGTGAGTGGTTTTCCAAGTGACAGAAAGGGACGGGGCGGCATCAGGCAGAGGCACCAACATGTATCAAGGCCCAGAAGCCCACCCTTCCGTTGTCAGGGTTTGAGGTGTTGTTCTGTAAGCCCACCTACATACCTCTCGCCCAGGGCCTCCTACCCCTGCTCCCCACCCCCCTTCCCAAGCCCCTCACTTCACAGGACCTCACCTGTGCCACCCCCTACTGGTGATCTGATGGATTTGTCAGGCAAATGAGCTGGGGGTAGAGGGGTTGGGGGTGGGCCTGTCCCCTATCCCCAGGGAACCGTTGCCCCTGCTCCCATGGCCTTCACAGCCCAATCCTGCCCCATCCCCTCTTCCCCACTGTGCCATCTTCTCATCCCAGGAGTGATCCTGCAAAAGCGAGTCAGCACAGAGGAGGGAGGGGTTGGCCTGAGTCACCCAACATGTGAGCAGCTGAGCTAAGGCTCAGACCCACAGGGCCTGGGGTCTCAGACTGTGGCGGAGCCCCCTGAGCTTGGACAAACCACGGAGTGGTCCCTTTCTGTACCTCTCCATCCTTGGGCTCCCATTTATGGTCACCTTGGGAGTGAACCAGGAGAGAAGCAGGGCTGAGCACCGGAGCTACAGCTTAAAACTCAGGATGCAGTAGTGTGCTGGTGTCAGCCCCTACCCGCTCGTGAGAGCCAATTGCTAAACCTTCTGGAATTTTCCAAGCCTGTTGATGTCACCTTGGAAGCTTGAAGTCGGCCCCGGTGGGAGTTTTTACAGTGTGAACGCTGGCAATTCATCCCTCTATGGCCACCCCCTCCCTGACCGAGCTGGTTGGTAAGCACTTACCAGCACACCACCGTCCAGGAGTCCCACCTCCTGGCTTCCCTGGAGGCTTCTGGGTCCTCTCAGCCCAGTCTTGGGCTCTTGGGGGAGTTGCTCTTGGCTAAATCTCGTGGGATCTCCTTCCTGCCACAGGGCAGTCCAGTCCCAGCATCAGCCGATCTTTCATGCTGCATCTTGGACGGCTCCCTTCCTGGCCCCTGTGCTCCGGCTACAGAGAAACAGATGATCCTCGCTGAAGAGGCATTTGCTTATGTTGTTCCCTTCTTCTGGAATGCCCTTCCCTCATCTCTGCCTCTTGAAGTCCTCCTTACTCTGTCAGAGCCTGGGTCTCTGGGAAACGCTGAATCCATTCCCCTGCCTCAGGGCAGAAACACACCAATACCCTCCTGCCACCCCCAGCCTGCTTGTGGTCTCCAGCGGAATGGGGTGTTAATGGAGGACAGACTGGTTGTTGCCCTCAGGGGTGACAAAAGCAAGAATCAACTTAAACCACCCAGGTTACCTGGAAACGAATCCCTTCATTCCCTGTTCAGCCTTTTGAACTCCTCTTCATCCTTCAAAGCCCAACTCATATGTTACCTCTGCCAAGAGGTCTTGCCCAGATCATAGTCTTCCATCACCCCCTCACCCCTCTGCCTTGTACGTTCTTTGATGGTCACGCTCATGGCTCTGGGCAGTGCTTATCTGTCTGTGTGTCCAACGTTCCACTGAACCACGGCCAACTGAGGCATGACAGGCCCTTATTTAAGGCTGAGCTCTCAGCCTGGTGCCCCACAGGCTTAGGAACTGCTTGTTGAATTGGGGCCGTCGCTGTCTTGGGCAAGTCCCTCTTCTCCCTGGGCCTCAGTTTCCCCCCTGTATGAACTAGACTTGAACGAGGTAATCTCCAAGGACCCACCTCTCACGTTCTAAGGGTCTGTGAATATATCCCCCTCCCGCCCCCCATCAAACTAGAAGGTGAGCTTCTAGTTTCCTTCCCTAGTTCCCCAGTGGGTGACACCCCTTCCTCTGCTGCCTTCGCCTCTCCCCGCAAACACCCTGCAGCCGACACACGGCTCGGGCTCAGGCCCCTGGACTCCATCCTCCTGGGTGCTCTTTTCCTGCGGACCAGGGGTTTCTCCGAAAGGGCAGGGGCCTTGCGCACCCACCCCGGGCCCTGCCCACAGGCCAGGCATGCAGTCAGCCTCCATGAGCGCCAGTCAGCGGGCCGTGATGGAGCTGCCAGGACTTGCGAGGCCTGTGGCTAGTTTCAGCGCCCCTGTTCAGACAGGCCCGGAGCCGCCTGCCCCTCACAACCGGGCTTCCCCTGGAGCCCCCGGGGGTCCACAGCCACATCCCGCTCTCTGCCTGTTTTGCTCCGACCTTCATAGGGTGCGTGCATCCGGGAGTGCATGTGTTGGTGGGGTGGGGTAGGTGCCAGCCCCCTCCTCCCCAGCCCGCACAGAGGACTCAGGTGGCTGTGGAGCCGGTGTCCCTCTCACTCTCTGCCCTCTCCTCACCGCCCAGCGCGCGCGTGCGCACACACTCAGAGCGTCCTGAAGCGAAGAGCGCGCGTGCGCACACACTCAGAGCGTCCTGAAGCGAAGAGCGCGCGTGCGCACACACTCAGAGCGTCCTGAAGCGAAGAGCGCGCGCGCGCACACTCAGAGCGTCCTGAAGCGACGAGCGCGCGTGCGCACACACTCAGAGCGTCCTGAAGCGACGAGCGTCAACCTGAGCCGGCGTTTGGAGCACAGAGAGGTGTCACTTGTGCCATTGGGCATGTTGAGCATGAGGGGACCAGATGGGATTGTTAGAAGGGGCTCTGAATCCCTTGTTGGTTCTGAAATCCAAGGACCAAAGGCTATCCCTGCCCCTAAGGCAGCGTTGTGCAGCCAAGCCTCCCACCCTGGCCCTGCCTCTTTGTCTAAGTCACCAAGCCCCTCACGGCTCTCGTGGGGCGACACCCTGCAGCTCAACGCAGCGTCTCACAGTCTCTCACAGGCACACGGGGCAGAGTCAGGGCCCAGGGATGAAGCGAACAGAGCAAACCACAGGACGTGGGAAGGAGAACCCAGTGTGGGCCAGTCCATCCCAGAAGGCTCCAGGGAGCGGTGGCCCTTGGGCGATGCTGATGTAAGGGTCTACAGCCCAGACTCTGATGCCTCCTGTCTTGGGAGTAGGATGGTCTTCAGCAAAATCCTAACCTCTCCGTATCTCAGTTTCCCCATCTGTAGAGCAGTGGCAGGTCACAGCGCCTACCTTATGTAGTTGTCACAGCTGAGTGAATTGACAGATGTGCCTGCATCTGGTGTCTGGCATGCAGTAAGTGCTCAGGAAACAGCGCTGCTGATAGAAGTACAGAAGAGGGCCGCCCAGCCCTCCTTGCTCCATTCCTGAGCACGGCCCCTGTGCTGGGTGCTGGGAAGACACCCGAGGCCATGCCCTCCGTGAGCTTCTGAAGATGGGGGAGGGTGCAGACAGGGAAAGGGCAGCTCTCAGGCTGTCTCTGGGTGTGCCAGGGAGACAGACCAGGACAGCTGAGGGGCCAGCCCTGATGGCGGAGGGTCAGGGGCCAGGAGGAGAGGTGTGGCCTCAGAACAGAGGGGAGTGAGAGGAAGGGGTTCCAGGTGGAGGAACAGCCTAAGCAAAGGTGCAGATGGTGAACTCTGGTCAGGGAGGGCGTGCTGCAGAATCCCCCGGCTCTAGGACCATCACCACCAGCACAGGAGGCTGCTCCTGACCCCCTTGTGCACAAGGGCCCCATCCCCATGCAGGACGACACACCTACTTTCATGCCTCTGCACCTTCGACCACGAAGCCCCCTCCCACAGGTGTCACCTCCTCCAGGCAGCATGTGAAGTTAGTGCACTTCATTGTAATCGTCGGGGCCTCTCTATCCCTCTGGGACAGGCGCACCCGAGACCTGCCCGTGGTGGGGACTCAATAGTGATTAGCTGAATGAATGAATCAACGAATGAACGACTGAACAAAAGCAGTGACTGCCGTGTCCCCCTACACGCTGGCGATTCAACCGATGACGGACACCATCATGCACCCTGTAACCATAGGGCATAAGCCGCAGGACCTCTGACACACACCCCGCCAGGCCATCACCACCCCAGCAAGCCACGTGGAAAGCTGCTCTCTCCCCGCGTGCCCCCTCCCCATCTATCCTCCCACCCACGCACACTTTCCCTCTCGCCTGGGGCAGCTGGTGGGAGGGTGGGGGCGGGGGAGGGGCAGGGCCAGAGAGGCCTCAGAGGCAGTGGGGGCAGGGGGCTGGGGGAGGCTGGGAAAGTCCAGGCTGTCTCTCCTGGGGGGCGGTGGGCGGCATGGCGGGGCACTCGCAGTGATGAGGGAGGGAGGAGGGTCTCGGCCCGGTACAGCTGCGGTCCCCTCCCCAGCAGCCTGCCCGGGTGCAGAAAGGCCTCTTTGTTCTCCGCCTTTAAAGGGTAAGAGAAACACTTATGCATGGCAAATTAGCCCAAAAATGTATTTCTCTAAAACACCCAATTGTCTCACCAGGCCTGCAGCTGCAGGGAAGTTCCAGGGAGCCGGGGGAGGGGGCGTCTTTGGGGTGACCCTGAGGGACAGGGAGAGGTGGGGAGAGAGGGGCCATCTCTCTTTCCCGCCTCTGCTCTCAGAATCTCACAGTCGAAGAAGGGCACAGCTGGGGAGGGCCCGAGGGTCAGGGAACCCCCCTCCAGTGGTACAGAGAGGGAAACTGAGGCCCAGAGAGGTGGCTGGTGGCAGAGAAAGGGCTGATCCCAAGTCCCTTGGACTATTGCATCTATACCCACTGCCTTGTCCATGCTGGAAGGGAAAGGGACCCAGGGAAGGGGACCCAGGTCCCCAAGGTGAACCAAGCCGGCTGCCCTAGGCATGAAGGAGAGAGGAAGAAACTGGGTGGCTCTGCTCGTAAGCTGCCCACTCGGGGCTTCAGTGCCCAGGAGGATGGCCAAGGGCACCCACCACGCCCGCCTCCTCCCCAACCTGGTGCATCTGAAGGCAGCATGCCTGGGGTGATGGGGGATTCAGGCAGTGGCACCTGTAGGGAGGCCTCCACCAAAGCCTTCCCAAGAGCAGGCAGGAGAGCCCCCCCTTCGTCTGGACCTGAACCAAATGCATGTTCGGAGAAGGTTCGGGATCCTGCATTGTTCTCCCACTTGAGGCACGTTCCCGAGGAGCCTGCTCTGTGTGGTCCACAGGAGCATCTGGGCTCCCAAAGGTGAATCAGAGACAGCTCTGTCCCCAGGGAGTTCCTTGTCCCATGGGGGAGACAGATGAATAAACAAACCACTAGCATGAAAGAGTCCCGTGGAGAGGTGAGGCCCAAACTGAACGACGCAAACATGGAGGACAAGGATATGGAGGGGCGTCTCCCGACGATGGCCCCAGGGCCGGGCCCTGAAAGGGAGTCTGAGAGTGGGATGGGGGGACATTCCAGGCAGTGGGGGACAGCACAAGGACACAACTGAGGCTCCTGAGACCACCCCTTGACATCAGAATTCAGAATCATTGATTTAAGAGAATTTGTTTGTTTGTTTGTTTGTTTTTGGCCACGTTGGGTCTTCGTTGCTTCATGTGGGCTTTCTCTAGTTGCGGCGAGCGGGGGCTACTCTTAGTTGCAGTGCGTGGGCTTCTCACTGCAGTGGCTTCTCTTGTTGCGGAGCATGGGCTCTAGGCGCGCAGGCTTCAGTAGTTGTGGCTCGAGGGCTCTAGAGCGCAGGCTTCAGTAGTTGTGGTGCACGGCCTTAGTTGCTCTGCGGCATGTGGGATCTTCCCGGACCACGGCTCGAACCCGCGTCCCCTGCAGTGGCAAGGCGGATTCTTAACCAATGCGCCACCAGAGAAGTCCTAAGAGAATTTATTGAGCATCCTCAGAGTTCCAGCCCGTGTAGGAGACACAAGAGGAGAGAACATGGCTCTGACCCTGGGGTCAACTTGACGAGGTGAGTCCATGACAGGGAAAAGCCCTGAGCTGGCCGTGAAAAGTGCCGTGGGGGTCTGCAGAGTTCGGATCCGGCAGCTCCTGGGGGACCGTCAGCTCCCCAGGTGTTCGTGCACCTGTACGACGCGGGGATGATAACAACCCAGGAAGACCGTCGTGAGGAGACATGGGAAGAGCCAAACCCAGTGACTGACACCCCGTGGTTTCTCAGTAAATGTTAGTTCTGCCCCCTCACCCCCCCAGAAGTCTGGAAACGAGAGAGATGGGAGGAAGTG